AAAACTTTGATATGACCATCAGCTTTAATAGAATAATTCGCTGTTACACATTCTTGTTTGTTTTCAAATAAATTAGGTAGTTTGTACAGTTCATACCATTTACCTAAATACTGGAAAAAATCAAACAGTGACAAATAGATCTTATAATTTTTAGGGTTTGTACCACAATAACAAGAAAGTAGCTTAAGAAAAATAATTTATGTTCGACACGTTTACCAAACTCCTAGGGAACCTTACATGGCCCCCTTCCACCTTCAATTTCTTTTTATTTGACATATTTGCCTGTTACTCCCCCCTCCCACTACCCACCTTCCCCCCTGATAATGCTGTGGCTCCTACTTGACTCCCTCACAGCACTGATCTGTCATAATAATCAATAGTAACTGATAAGATTATTCTAGGTAGGTAGGTAGATGACAAGTTAACGTTCGCTTCCAGCGGATGCTGATATCGCAAGCTAGGTAGTTGTTGGTAGTCGTAGTAGTTGGATTGGATCAAATTGAATGATTCGGTGTTGTTGGTTTGGTTGTTGATTCTTCGTTAGATCTGGTCGGGTCGAATGACATGGCGGTGAAACTCGGCCCTGGATGGTGTGGCGTGAGTTACTCGGTCTCCTTCATTCTTCCAAACTCGTTCTGATCATGGTATTTCTTGTTGATTATTCTAGACAGGACAGCGTTACTTATACAGGGTGGCCTATGCATGACTACTGAATCATCTAGCCGAGACGGTAACGTACCTTTGTGAGATCTAAATGCTCCTGTGGCTGTGTTTTTGGACATGGTCCTAACCCTGGTATTTGGGCAGCAGATAAAACAAAACAAACAGAGAGTATCACTAGTATTCCTTCCATCCTGATCTCAACGATTCCACACGACTTCTGATAATTGTTCTATTAATTTGACCTTTTTATTGACAATATTTATATAATTTGGATGTTTTGACATGTGTTTTTAAAGATAAAATTCTAGTGGTCATCACTGACCCTAAGTATAGGTAAGTGCGTTTTGAAGGCATGATATAAATAATATGAACAAAATGTAAATGTTCATACGTAAAAGTACGAGATGGTTTTCCTTCCCTCATATATTTATAGTCACCTAATACCACTTTTCATTATGAAATACTAATTCAATTATGGTTGATATACTTCCTCATATAAAAAGTTTATAAGCTTATCAATGTTCGCCGCGTTTGGATTTCGTTGTGCAGTTAGTACTTATTTATCATTATTTATTTATATTTACTTATGTATCATTTTGCTAACCAAACCTCTCATGAGCCAAAAGAGAAAGGTACTTTAAAAAAATAAACAATTTTACCAACATAAACAGGGATTTTTTCTGTTCCAAAATAAAATAAAACAACTTTCTATCTTCTATTTCATCAAAATACAATGATCAGTTCTATTT